CCAGCTCCTGCTGCTATATGTGGCGTGCAGATCCAGCTGCAACAATGAGAAACTGTCTGAAGGTACAAATGGCTCACACAAGCTGCAAAATGAACATTATTTGGGGTTGGGTTTGGCATGCACGGCACATTGAGAGTGATATCACACCATCTGTGATACGAAGAATAAGATTTACACCAACAAACATCTCATACCACCATCATGCAAAGCAGGGCTGTCAAACATACACATCACCGTATGCACTCAAGCAGAGGATCATGTATCATTATTTTTTTATTATGGGAACATCAGGGATGCACATTTAAGAGCTGTGGCACAAAAAGTCAGACTTTTGTCGATTAAACCAGGGTGATGCTGCTTCCGGATATGCCTACAAACATACGACACCACTGCAGCACTTGATGAAATGAAACACAACTGTTCCCTATAGAGGAAATGTTGACATGCCATTTGACAACATTGCCATGTTTTAAGCAGCAGTGAATAGTAAATTCGCTGATTATTAATCTAAATACGAGTCTCAGAAAGCCAGTGGTCATCATAGAGGGGCTGTGTTTTTCTGCAGGTTTGACATTACAGCACACTGTGTGCTCAGTCATATAGGGAACATGGGCCCCTTTCCCTATGGCCATGCTATGTCAGTGCCCACAATGGGGGCCAAGAAGGGTTTGTTTGTATCCAGACAAATTACTTGACAGAGCTGCAGTGCTCACATCCAGAAAAATGTGAACGCATTTAAAAAAACGCATCTTAAAATGCTTAACATGTCAGCTTCAGGGCTGTTTTAATCGATGAGTTGATTAAAAAAAGTGGCTTCATATCACACCTGAGTTGTCTTCAAAAATGAAGTTACATAACGATATTATGAATGCAACTTTTTTTATTATTATTTGCAGCATGACACACAGCCCTGAGCACAAATATGCTTTGTATGGTCTCAAGGCCAAGTGAGAAGATGAACCCAGTGACCAAAGGGTGGCGTTTCCAAGGCAACTGGAGCCCACCCTGGAGACTCAAGGTGGGTGATGGGCAGTTTAGAGTGGGACATGCTTAGCAGGTCAAATATCTCGAGGGATGGGTCACGGCTGGTAATGAACAAGCCAATTAGAAGAGCTGATCATTCTACACGTTAACCCCCTCTAAGAAGTTGACTATTTAAATTCATCCCCTTAAAAGCACCACAGCCAACATGGACATCTTTCATATTTCGCAATGGAACTTATGAGAGCTTTAAGCATTGAATTTAAGATGCTGTGTTAAAGGTAAAATTAGTTATCAGATTTCTGAGAAAGGTGACAGTTGTTTGTCTCACAAAGAATTGAATGCTTGCATATGAGCCTGTTGGTTTTGTTGGAGGCGTGGAGGAAGAGGTCACAACAGTATGCTACATTCTCAGCTATTATAGGAATGAAAGACGGAAATAAGCAGGAGGAGGAAAGGAAAGAGAGAGTGGAGAAGAGCCTCTGGCTGTGGGTCTGAATGTGTGCCAAAGCAGCACCATGTCCTCCTGCTCATAACTGCAGGTTGTTGGCTTCTCACACTATTTAGATTATTTTTTAACTCTCATTGCTGTCATTCCAGCAAACATTGAAAACAATTATTGACGATGAGCCAACATAAAGGCCAAAGAGAGCAGATTCAGATTGTTTTATTTAGTGCCATGTCAGCATCTAAAGAGAGCAGGACAGGAGACACGCATGTAAGGAACGCTCTCATTAGTCTTTTTTCTGAAGTCAAACTGTCGGCCAGGATCAACCTTTAAAACAGTGCGTTTATTAGCAGAGTTGGTACTGTGCAACTTTTTTCCATTTTCAAAATTAAGTATTGTGTGTATGTGCTTTAGCTGTGTAGAAACACGAGCACTAGACAAACGGTTTGAGGAAAACAAAAAGTGGATGTCTATACAATGCTCTATTGGCTAAAAAATGGGGGGGGGGCACAAACAGCTGATATAATTATTACTGCTGAATTATAATAAAGATTGTTTTAACCTTTCAATATTCGGCATACACTAACCGTACGTTCACAGCCGCCGACTTGAGCTTCCAAAGCTTCTGGAAGTCATTCATTTTCAATGGAGGCTGGCTTCTCTCAGCTGCATGGAGAGTCAAATCCATCGGCGTCGCGTTTTGGGCGTTTTGAGCGTCAATCAAACAGTAGAAAGAAGCCCAACTTTATGGTAATGAGCTGTGACGCAAGCAACCGATGGGAATATAGACGTCCTTCACGCTGGCTGATTTCAGAGAAAGAAATACACGATGTAAACTTTCGTTCCTACCAAAATGGAACAAGAGCTAATAATCGCGTTGCTGTGATTCCTCCTGGTTTCGTATCATTTATGACATGACATTGTTTGCTTATAGGGACTGCATGAGCGCAACTTTTATTCAAAATATTTACGAAGGCTCGTTTTAAAGCTGGAATGCAATTAATTTGCTCATAGTGACACCAATTTGACCGCAAATAATAATAATAATAATAGCTAACTATTTTTTCCCGACCAAATGTGACCAAAACGGTTATATAAAATTATGTCATTATAAAAGGTTTCTTCAATGTATTGCTTGTTTTTTTCTGTTTATTACATTTCATGTTGTGACACTTCTATTCTCCCTGCAACGTACGTCAGAGCGTTCAAAGCGTCCAAAGTGTCAACAAGCTTCCCCGACCCGTACTATTTGACCAGCGTCCTTGACAGAGCTTCTTTGACGCTCAAGTCGGCGGTGGTGTGTGAACGTACAGTAAGATTTGAACTTTTTTCACTGTAAAACAACACTCAAACACTGAAAGTCATCAGCCACTGAAAACCCAGGAATTTGCAATCAGATTAAGAGGTAAACTGACACCCTTGTGCTCACCCACAACAGCAAATATGACCATTCAAATGAGAGATCACATGATATGCAGTTTAAATACAGCAAATCTGATTGAACTGGAAATTCATTTAAACCAACTCTCTTGCAGGAAAGAGTAGCAAGGTTTCTTTGTGGTGCAGTTTTTGCAGTAAACACCTGAACCATTTCTTACTTGAATTAAACTATTTGGTTAAAAAAATAGCAACAGAATGTTCTGATAGAGGTCTATTCTGCACCCTAAAGGCTGAAAGATGACAACATTAGTGCAACAGTGGACATAGGTTCTTCACTATTTGGCCCCCTCTACATACCAAAATACTGCATCTGGATATTGACTCATATTGACTCATCATATTGACCTGCGTCTTTATAACCACAAAAACACACTCGGTGTGAATGCCGTTCTGTTGGGCCGCAACGATTTGACAGGTCATGCAAATTACCTGACTCTAAGATACATCATCTCTCCCATAAAATATTCTCAAATCATGGATGTCCTGCCCTGAATTCAGTTTGCAAGTTTTTGTGCTTTGTTTCTGTTCATGCATGGCCTTTCAGATCTCTTACTTATTTGAAGCAGAAATGCGTTTTAAAATTATTTGAACTTCCCAAAGACTCTTACTTCCCCAAATGCCGCTTTTGTGCACGCTCCATCTGTGCATGTTATTCCAAATGAAACTACTGTTTGTATTCACAACATGAAGCAACTAGCTTTTTCAGATGGCAATGCAAAGCCCTTATGTTTCTTGTATTTAATGGCCACTTTTCACAACCCAAACAGATCAATTATATAAATCTCCATTCAACCTTTCTTCCTGCTAAATATGCTAATTGGGAAAAATGGCAAATTACAAAAGTAAAATGGGTGTGCGTGTTGTTTTGCATTGATTTTACACTCAGACCAGGTTGCTCGCTTCTGAAAACCATAATGAAGTAACCAAAGCTGTATCAAAGTGTGCCAATTAACAATAACACAAGGTATTCAAGCTGTGAGTTTGTGCACATGTGGTGCAATTCTTATTCAATTCACTGTGTGAGTGTTTTTATACAGGCATTAGGTATGGAACCGGCAAACATCCAACCAACCTCGCCATTTTAAAAACTATAGGTTACATTGTTGGAAACAAAAGTGAACATCTTTACAGCTCACAACAATTCTAAGACAAGCTATGTAATCGGCTGTTATGAAAATAGTGAGTTTGCACATCAGCCCGTTATTAATATCATCAATCCAATAGGAAGGCTGGCAGGCACTAGGGTGCAATTGTTTCTTGTGTCTCACACCAGGTATGTACTTGTGACCTGCGTCAGCACCCTGTGTGCTTAGTCAACATATGACCAACCCTAATCCACCACCTGTCCAGCGTGGATGATGCCACATCAGCCTGGCAAAGATATTGGGTGCACAAAAAGCTAAGATTATCATAGACATAGACATATTTGAATGCATTAAACATTCTCAAAATATCATAAGCTAAAGTAAAAGCTTGCTTCTGTGGTCAGAGCAAACTTAGCTCTAGCACTAGCTGGCAAGTACCTGTTATTTTAAAATAAGTTTAATCTATCTAACATCTACTTACAAAAACTGACCGAAATTCATGACAATGGCTATTTTAAAAAAGTGCTGGCTGCAAAATTCAACAATAATATCAGCTGAAGCCACCGGTAAGGTGTTCAACAAAGCCTTAAAACTAAAGAAAAAATACATAAAACATAACAAAAATTACGTGCTCACATGCTTAAGTGGGAAGCCTTGAAATGCACGGTGGGCGTTGAGTGTTTTCTGTACACTGTGTACCATACACATACATCCACAATTTACATACATGATACTGGACAGCTGGTGGTCCAGTGCTACTTTCAACAGCCTGACAGCACATTTCTGTAAGAAATGCAAGCAACTCCATAAAAATATATGAGTGAGAAAACAGTATTTGACTCGTAATATTTAAATTCGTATGACAAAAAGCTTATAAATACATCCCACATCTGAAGCTACTCAACAAACGTTAGCATCTAGCATGAAGCTATCATGAGAGACAGAGTGGTAAATTATTTCGGTGTCAAAGTATTGGTGTTCTTATTGCTCAGCTTTACAGGTAGAGACATTAATACTACTTCAATAAAGATCATTGTTTGACTCACCAGCACAGGAGAACTAAAACGGCGCACAGCAACAACACGCGCAGCTTCTTCATTATCTTCCCGCGGGGACCAACATCCTCGCCTTTTTTATTTACTCTCCCCTAATACTGACGGCAGAGGCCAAGACTAGCTAATAATGCTAATTGTTTACAACTGTATATAGGTAAAGGGGGGGTGTTCGCGGGACAGAACATACACTTTGGTTAGTTTCTGTGTTGAACCCCCCTTTGAGACGCGCTGTCTGGCCGAGTGGCTCCGTCAACGTAATGTGCGTAATGAGCTGCTGTTGCTCCGGTGCCCAGTGCTCACTGCTCCTGCTGCCCCGTCCTCAGCCAATAGGAATCGAGTATTGCGTTGACCCCGCCCACTCCTCGAGGTCTAGCTGAGTTGGAGGTTTTGTCATCAGACGCGTCACCTCAATGATAAGAGATGTGACATGCTGCCTATGAACCACTTAGTTTTTATGTAAAATAATAATTAAAATTTAAACACAGCGATATCCGATTCTTGGACGAATCGTTTATTCCTGCAGATGTGATTTTTTAGTCGGATATTTTTTTATGAATGGGTTGAACCATAGACTGTAAAAAAAAGGGTTGAACCACGAGTTGAACAGGTTCACAAAACTTTTTTGATTCAAAAATGTTTTATATACCCTATTTTGAATTTTAGTCTTCGTGTTTTTTTTTTGTTTTGTTTTTGTTTTTGTTTTTACTTGTATTGTTATCAAATTATTGTGTTATCATCATACATGGGAACATTATTATTATATAAAAAAGGAGACAAAACCTGGCTCTTTGAAATTGAAATTAACTGTTCGAAAGAAGCGGTTCGGAGACATTAGTCAAACCTCCCATAATTTATTTTTATTCAACTTTCATAAAAGCGATCATTACTGGAAAGTACTGTGGACTGGAGTGCAGGACTAGTCTACAAAAAAACTACATTTTCCATAATGCAACATTCCATGGCGTCGCGTAATATGCCAGTGAACGTTGTACGTGTGTATAAATATTTAATACGTTCTCATAATACACGTTTTCCTTAATTGTATTGTTTGTTTGTTTTTTTAATTTTCTGTTACAAAAGATACTTGTGCTGACAGATTTAGACTTTGTTTTATTTTTAAACATTTCTACTTTTATGAGGCGGGGTCCTCAAGTTACAGAATTCCCAACTCGTTTGGTGAGCTGTCCCAACTCTCGAGCAGCTGCTGAAGTTTATACAAGAACAACTTTCATCGGTTGTTGTTAAACTATTAAAGTGTAGGAAGATGCGGTGGAGTATAGAGTTGTTGAGAGTGTGTGTGGCGTGTTTATCGTTGTGTGTGTCTGTGATAAGCGCTTTCTCTCAGTCTCTGGACAGTGATTTTACCTTTACTCTACCCCCCGGACGCAAAGAGTGCTTCTTCCAGGGTATGAAGAAAGACGCTTCGCTGGAGATCGAGTACCAGGTAACGTTAACGTTACCTCTAAATAAATATCTCATTCTGATTCAACTTGAGTAAAGTTGACATTGATCATATTGCCACACATTGTAAATGGTGGGTTCAGCCCACATTCTTGTTATGGGATCAATAAAGTAACGTTAGTGTAAAATATGAGTCGATAATATGAGATATATAGTCCGTCAATGAAAAATAAAGGTCTCCTGGATAATAAAGAGAGACATTTCTTGCTTGTGTATATATATATATATATATACACAAGCAAGAAATGTCTCTCTTTATTATCCAGGAGACCTTTATTATATATATATATATATATAGGTGTAATTGTTGTATTCATTGTATTCATTTAGGTATTCATCACCTAAACAGAAATATCAAGGTAAATTTCTTTCAAACATGATCTAATGCAATAAAGTTTGCTGAATTATGAAAATTGGACTTGAAGTTGTGACACAATACATTAGTTGGAAAAGTGACTCAATGGAGCTAAAGGTCATTTTTGGAGAAGGAAAAGTACCAAGAGAACTCTGTGACTGTCTGTAGACTTGCGTATTGATTCTGTAACTTGCCCATGGTAAGCTCAAACCTTCATGTTGTGAGGGTAGAATCAGCATATCCTTCTGTTGGACTCGTCATTAATCGAAATATATCTTTGTGTAGGTTCTGGATGGAGCCAGTCTAGATGTGGACTTCCACTTGCACTCGCCCAGCGGTCACGTCGTAGCCTCCGACTACAGAAAATCTGACGGGGTTCATACGTAAGTTTTACCTCCAATCACAGTTTAGTCATGTGCACTTGACGTTCTACTGCCCGATTAACCTTGCTTTTGCTTTTTTGTGTGTCAGAGTGGAAACAGAAGAGGGAGACTACATGTTCTGCTTTGATAACACATTCAGTGCTGTTTCTGAGAAAGTCATCTTCTTTGAGTTGATTTTGGACAATATGGGTGACGGCGAGGAATCAGAGGACTGGAAAGCATACGTTCAGGGAGCAGATCTTCTGGACATGAAGCTCGAGGATATCATGGTAAGAATGACGTGCCAAACAAACTTTTTTTAAACGAGAGGGTCTTGGTGTTGGTCAAAAGATTGGGGTTAGTACGTTTATATATATATATATATATATATATATATATATATACACACACACACACACACACACAGAAATATTTGTGGCAGCAGTTACTATGATGATGACAATAATAAAGGTTTCTTGAGCATCAAATCATCATATTAGAATGATTTCTGAAGGATCGTGTGTCACTGAAGACTGGAGTACTGATAATGAAAATTCAGCTTTGATCACAGGAATAAATTGCATTTGAAAATATATTCAAATAGAAAACAATGTTTTAAAATTAAGCTAATATTTCACAATATTACCGTTTCATCAATTAAATGCGGCCCTGCTGAGAATATGAATCTTATTCACTTTTGAACAGTATATAATTTAGCTTGTAATATTTGTAAAACTGCCAGGGTTCCCATGTTCATGGAAAATACCAGATGCATCAATAAATCTTTACCTCTCTGGAAAATAATTTAATAAAACATATTTTAAAAAAATGATATAAATAAAATATTTTTTGCTGTTATGCTACAATATTTAGTTTAGTAGTCTTAGTATTTAGTCTTTGTCAGGACAGTCTTTATAAAATGTTTTTAACAAGCAGTAGTAAGTGAATTCATTGGTCAAAAGGTGTGGTAGCCCCAAACTAACTGTCATGGAATGTGGATTAACAGGAATTGAACATGGAATATTATTCAGTTAATGAATGTGTCACAGACATTCTTGGAATGTACTTACAAGTGTGGTTAAATCCAAATTTTTCAAGTTAGAGGAATGTATTTCCCATTCACAGCCATCAGCATTTGGGCTTGAACACTCAGGTTACACTGACCATATGCCAGCAGTCGATCTGCTTCTGTTCAAACAAATGTCACCTTTAACAGACAATGCATGCCAACTACCAGCATGCAGTGCAGCCACAGGTGGTGTCAATGTGACCTGAGTGTTTGTGAATGACATGATTGTGCGCTTCTCAAATGGAAGGTTGCGTCCTAGAAAGGCTGCATACCTCGGCTGCCACGTCTTCAAACTCCACCGAAGGCCATCTCATCAATTTGAAGAATTCTTGAAAAGGCAGCCTTCGTTTGGCGTCCTTCATTCAGCTGATTTTGAAGGATCCATCAAGTGTATCCTTCATGTCCGCCAATTACCCACAATCCGTTGCACCCATTCCAATTCACGAAAAAGAGCTGATGGAAATGAGTCGGCACTGAGCTTGTGAAATATAAGAGAAAAAGAGATTAAAGAGAGTTTCGGAGATTAATGCATACATGGTATCTTGTTTAGGTATAAATTAATCACTAACACTATTCTAGGCCTCACAAGGATGAGAATCACTAGCTTATATTAATATGTACAAGTACTTTGCTGTTTTTCTTGAAAGTAGTGTATATAAATAAACTGATTCAATGTTAACAAGCCATTTTAGGAAGCAACAGGAAGTTTTCTAATTAAAATCACATCTGTGCAGGAAATTGTGTGTTCCTATTGGGTCAAAGTGTTTGAGTTTATTTTTTTTACTAGCCATTGTTTCATAGTAGAGATTGTATCGACTCTAGTTCTCCTTAGACCTTTGCGTGGGACTCTTTATGTCTCGGCTGTTGGTTATTTTTCTTTGAGTGATGAAGGAACAATAAAGTTATTTGAGGTTTAATTGTTGGGAATACTGACGAAAAACATTATTTTCTACTCTTCGTCGTCCAAAACACACAGAGACACTCTGAATCTGAACTTATAAGTTTACAAAAGATTTCTGTCTCAAATAAATGCTGTTCTCTTGAACTTTCTATTTGTCAAAGAATTCTAAAAGAATTATCAGTTTCCCAAAATATGAAGCAGCTGTTTTGAACATTTATAATAATAATAAATGTTTCTTGAGCAGCAAATCGGCATATTAGAATGATTTCTGAAGGATCATGCGACACTGAAGACTGAAGTAATGATGTTGAAAATTCAGCTTTACCATCGCCTGAACAAATTATATTGTGAAAACTTGAAATTAGAAAACGGCTATATTAAATTGTGATAATTTAGACTTGTTGAACATAAGAAACATTAAAGCATTAAAGTGCCCCTATTACGCCTTTTGGGATATTAGCTTCCATACACTGCATGAAAGGTAATATCTGAAAAAGCATGATACAGCTGTTTGTGAATGTAAAAGGTCTGCAATGATCAAAGCGCACAATAAACAATTATTTTTTCCCAAAAGAAAGAACCGATTCTGAACTGGTTGTCAGCAATTCCAGTCTTACTTCCTTCTCAAACCTATGAACAAATTTGCACAAAACCAACCTGTGGTGTTCATTGGCTACCAGACGAACAACGTCTACTTTGACCCTCAAACACTGTCGTTGTAGCTCATGCCTGGAAGATTGGCTCATGCTGTTGACATGTTGAGAAGACACTGTGTTCAGCGCTGTGAATCGAATTTGATGCTCTTCAAAAAGATGAGGAATCATGCTGGAATGAAACTGACACCATCATTACTGTTCGTATTACGGGAGCGTATTGCATTCACTTGAAGAAAAAAATCTACTCTGTTTTTCTGAATTAACGAGTTAATTATCTCAGAATTACGAGAATTTTTCATGGAAAAAGTTTGCCCGGTTTTTCTGAATTAATGAGTTAATTATCTTAAAATTACGAGACGATTTTTCATGGAAAAAAGCATTTTTGCTCTAAAATAATGAGTTAATTATCTCAGAATAATGAGAATTTTTCATGGAAAAAAAAAACGTTTTTGCTCTTTTTCTGAACTAACGAGTTGATTATCTCAGAATTACAAGATAATTTTTTATGAAAAAAGTTTTTGCTCTGTTTTTCTGAATTAACAAGTTAATTATCTCAGAATTACGAGCATTTTTCATGGAAAAAAGTTTTTGCTTTGTTTTTCTGAATTAATAACTTGATTATCTCAAAACCTCATTCATTCAGAAAAACAGAGCGAAATTTTCACAGAAAAAAGTTTATCTTGTAATTCTGAGATAATTAACTCGTTAGTTCAGAAAAGAGCAAAAAAGTTTTTTTCCATGAAAAATTCTCGTAATTTTGAGATAATTAACTCGTTAATTCAGAAAAACAGAGCAAAAACTCTGTAAAACAAGTAGATTTGTTTTCTTCAAGTGAATGCAATAAGCTTCCGTATTGTATCACTGTGTATCAAGTGCTGAAATTCAGATATGGTAATTGGACATTTTGTTTCGGACACGTGCTGTAAGCAATAGACCAATCACAACAGACTGGGCCATCTGACCAATCAGAGCAGAGTAAGCTCTCGAAAAGGAGGTCTTGCCGACCTCAAACTTTTGAAGGTTAGTGTATGTTATTTAAGATTTACATTTTGAGCGTGTCTTTGTTTGCAGGACACCATCAACAGCGTGAGATCTCGACTGGGAAAGAGTCTTCAGATCCAGACATTGCTGAGAGCATTTGAAGCCCGTGACCGAAACCTGCAAGAGAGCAACTACGATCGAGTCAACATGTGGTCGTGCACCAACCTTTTCATCATGGTGATCGTATCTGGCATACAGGTCTACTTGCTGCGCAGCCTCTTCAATGACAAGAGGAAAACAAACACATAGCCTACCTCTGCTGCTGCTCTTCTCTCTCCCTCTCCATCCCTTAATATTAATCTCCATCCTCCGCTTCGTCTCTTCAAAGTGTCCTTGGACTGATGATATTCCTGGAGTCTCTCCTCCACTCTTTCATCCCTCTTGCCTTGTTCCGATGAAGACAATCATTTTCTGCTTGACACAGCCGATAAAATGAGAGATTGAAGTCGATCTCTAAACTGCTGCTATGTGACAGATCTAACCAGGGACATGACTTCTTGATGTTTTAAGGTTTCAAAATGTGTTCTTAGACTATCCGAGAACTAAGTTTTGTGTTTTTGTATGACACCATGTTTTATATTTCACTGTATCACAGGTAGTTACTGAAATCTTCTAAGCACTGATAAGGATACACTGATATGCAGCAGGTTTCATATTTTTGTAATAAAAACTAGCTTAGAAATTAAACCATTTTTAAAGCGTTCATGAGTCATATTAATGATAATGTCTGTTTTAAAAGCTTTGTCATATGTTACCAATGGGCACACCCATCTCCATGTTTGCTTTACCCATCTGTTACTGATAATCATGTGAATTTAAACACACCCAATACACCGATGCGGTGACCTCCTTATTAACACATTTTGATGGCGCTAATTGTTTTGTCCAGGTCCATTAATTTATTGCAATATACATTAAAAATGAAATTCATAACAATCTTCTTTTATTCTTATTCTTATTTTATTTTTTAGTGAAAAAAGTATCCTGATGTCACAATGAAGAAAAAGGCTACATTAAAAGAATGAAATCCTCAAAAAGAAACCCTTAAAAGGATAGTTCACCCAAAAATGTAAACGTTGTTGTACACAAAAGAAGACATTTTGAAGACTGTCGGTAACCAGACAGTTGACGGTAGCCGTTGACTTCCATAGTAGGAAAATAATACTATGGAAGTTAAAGGACAAGTTCGGTATTTTACACTTAAAGCCCTGTTTTAAAATAGTTTCTGATGAAATAGAGCGGTTAAGATTGAAATTTGGACTCATGCTGCTGGCTTCGTTTTTTAAAATAACATTATCTGAAAACATTTTGATATTATAGCCTGATTTACTGTAAGATTATATTGTGAGTAAAGCTATGGTTTTGGAGTAAATGCACCTGTCACTTACAAACGTCCAGGTTTTTTATACGTTTTTATATTTTAATTAAATTATGCTAATGCATTGTTATAATATGCACATGAACATGCTAATGTAGGCTATTGTGTTATAATGAAAAATGCTAATCCATTATACTAATGCATTGTGTTAATAACCCATTTAAACTCACCGAAATAGTCTACAGGGAGTCTACTATAATAGCAGTGGAGTATAAAATATTTTGAACATATATTAGGGCCTATTTAAAGGCTATTAATTAAATATTAGCAATATTTATTTACTTTGCGTCATTTATTTTACGTATTGTTAACATTGAAACAAAATATGACAAATATGAATTCTCTTTCCCCGCAATAACCGACTGATTCAAGGTTTTTCAAATAAGAATATAAATACAATGATACCCTTGATAAATAAATGCTCTGACTGTGATAAAGTCCATTTGTTCTGTGTGATTGAACGACTGGCCACTTCACAGTGATTACAAGTGTGAGAATGAATAAGCATCCTTTCACTAATGCTACCTTCACGTGTTATCGGGGGCATGAACGCCCACTCAAGTCAAAATTTGAATGAGACGAGCTCGTAAACACGACTTCAAAAGTGGGAAGTAAGAATTTTCCGAAAATCCTAGTATCCGAGTATCCTACGCTTTGAGAAGACAGTTGGAGGTTGTAAGTAAAGAAGGCCTGCAGGCGGCGCCCTTTAGCCAACCCTACCAGCGTCTTTTGCTTTTGTGGTTCGTCACTTCCGGGTGTGCGATGGCATGACCATAGCCAGACAGTAGTGGGTCAAGAGCAGTCTATGGTCAAGAGAGAAAATCCTGCTGATTCTGTAAGCTATTACAATTATTTTCATTTTATCAAGTATATGTTTGCCATGAATTAACTTAGCTACATACTAGCGTTAGCTGTTGTATGATGGCTGTAAGTCGAATCTGTTGTTGATAAGATTCAGATTGACGTGAGATTGAAGCTGTCAGTCACACGCAGAGTAACTCAACGTTAACAAAGAGGTTGAATTTGTGTAACGTTAATAATATTTTGATTGTTGTCAGTTTTACTTACGCAGTTGAAGATTTGCTACTAGCGTTGTTCCAGGTTCTGTGGCATTTAAAAATTATTTGAACATTTATTTCAATCCTTAAAGAAGCTGATAAAAAGGAACGGCTAAAAACGTTAACATTTTAGTCGTATTTGTTATAATTTCCTTTTAAATATTTTGGTATTTATTTAGGTAAAGTCTTTAAAAAAAAGTCTAGAGCCGAACAAATTGGTTAATTGTGTGTGTGTGTGTGTGTAAATCATATGATTACACAGTTGGCAATAATACTCAACAAATAACGTTACCTAATTTATTTTTTGCTTTATAAATACGTGCGTTTTATTTACAAAAATGTTAGTTTCTTAAAGTTGTTTGTGGCATTTAACAATTATTTGAAAACGTTATTTCACTCATTAAAGCAGCTGAAAAAGAATTTCCTAAAAACTCTTCTCAAGTTTGTTTTGATATCTTTCTTGTTAGAAATTGCTTTTACATATTTTAGAATTATTTGAATGCCTTAAATATATTGCAAAGTCATAAATATATTTTAAAACAATGTGTTTAACAATAATAAGGCCTATTTTTTATTGGAAAAACTTGTATAGTGATGCATCATATATGTAGTACATGTTTTCATATTAATCAGACTACAGCATTTTCCTATAAATATAGTGCCTCAGTCACTCTCTTTACCTTGAAAGATGTACAGTATGTAGTGACAAGGGGTTGTATATGGTCCATTTTGACAGGTGATGGGGGCAGACAGTGGTCCCGGAGCTCCTGCAGTCCCGTGGCGTAAAGTGCTGTATGAACGCCAGCCTTTCCCAGACAATTACGTGGACCGGCGTTTTCTGGAGGAGCTGCGGCGCAACATCCGAGTCCGTCAGTACCGTTACTGGGCAGTAGTGCGTGAGACGGGGCTCATCGCACAGCAGGTGTCCTGCGTGGCTGTCTTCCTCACATTATGGTCTTACATGGAGCAGGGTGACCTGGAGCCATCCCTGGTGCTGTGGGTCTGTCTGGGCTGTGCTCTGCTGGGCTACGGCCTCTACGAGATCCTGGGAGGCGCTTGTGTTCGGGAGCGCACGCGACTGGCTGACCTGCAGAGCGCCACCATCTTCCTGGCATTTACCTTTGGGTTCTCACCCGTTTTAAAGACTCTGACCGAGTCTGTTAGTACAGATACGGTGTACGCCATGTCAGCCGTGATGCTCCTGGCTCACTTGGTGTCTTTCCCGTACGCTCAGCCCAGTCCGCCGGGCAGTCTTTCCCTCAACGCGGCTCTTTTCGGGTCGGTGTGCCTCGCGTCCCGGCTGCCAGGCGCTCTGCATACCTTCACCATGCTGAGCTGTGCCCTCCTGGTGTTCGCTCTCTGGCCCTGTCTGCTGCACCGCATGCGGGACAAGGCGGAGTGGAGCTTCCCGTGGGCAGCGGTGCTGGTGTGTCTGGTTGGAGTCTGGGGTCTGGGGAGCCTGTGGTCCGAGGGGGCACTTCTTCTCTCTCTGGCACTGTTAACATTAACGTTACTCTGTCCACTGTTATTAGTCCTCCTGCAGAGGCAAAAGGACAATATCCACGGTCCTTGGGACGAGGCAGAGATCAGAGAGGACTTGTCCCGATTCCTGAATTGAAACTGCCTAGAGGATTTTAACACTGTTTTAAATGCTTTTGAGAGTCTTTTGCACTTTGATTAAAGGGATATTTTATCCCAAAATGACCTTGTTTACTCTTGTCGATCCAAATCTGTATGACTTTCTTCTGTAGAACACAAAATAAGATATTTTGAGTATCTTTTATGTTCCACAGAAGAAAAGTCACAGTGGTTTTGACATGATTGTGAGTAAATAATGACAATTTTTGTTTGTGGGTGAACTGTTCTGTTAAAGGGATACTCCACTTTTTTTGGGAATTTTTTTGGCTCATTTTACAGCTCCCCCAGAGTTAAACAGTTGAGTTTCACCGTTTTCAAATGCATTCGGCCGATTTTCTGATATCAGTAACCAGACAGTTTCTGGTCTCATTGACTTCCATAGTAGGAAAAAAAATATATACTATGGGAGTCAATAAGACCAGAAACTGTCTGGTTACTGATATTCCTCTAAATATCAGAAAATCGTCTGAATGGATTTGAAAACGGTAAAACTCAACTGTTTAACTCTGGGGGAGTGGTAAAATGAGCCTATTTCCAAAAAAAAGTGGAGTATCCCTTTAAGCTCAGGGATGAAACTGTTACTGAGAAATAACATCTCATTTAGCCAATATACCTTAACTATTAAATGAGTGAACCTCATTAAAACATATCCAGGTTACATCTAGCACCGACTTGAAAAGAAAAATCAAATAGGAATTTATGTTTTATTTAAAGTCTAACACAAATAGCTAATTCGCACACTCTGCTATAGCTCGCAAATTGTATTTTAATGCAAAGTTTCAGTCAAGCGACTTTCATCGGCCATTGTTTTGGTGCCTGGGGAAGATCGCATGAACAAAATATTGCATAAAAACATGATTTGCAAGCTATAGCAGTGTTCTTCTGTTTATTCCTATGCACACTTAGGATTTATAAGGAGTTGTGGTATGTTTTACCAGGAGACGAAGCCCATTTTTAAAATCAAAAATCTTAATGGGCCTATAAATAGATTTAGAAATCTTACTTTTTATAAGAAAAAATATATAATTTTGGTGTTCGATCCAAACATGTTTTGTGATATTCAGTTAAATTGTATATATAAGAAAAGCCAGATTTTTTTAACAGTATTTATAATATATTGCCAAATTGTTAATAAAATACAATGTTTAAATGGTTTTAAAACACTGTATTGATATTGTACATTTACTGTATTGATTTATTTGAATGGAGGCAATATCAAACCCATTTACAATTGTTGAGACTATTATGGACAAACTGTTGACCACTAGATGTCAGTCCTCTATCAGCCCCAGGCTTTGCTGCAGCGTTCATGTTTTGTTCATCTGGAACAGCACAGTAACAGTCAGCAAAACATTTCTCCCAGTGTTCAACTAAAAGAATATACAATAATAAGCCTATGTTGGCTTTTCTTAAGTATATCATTCATAACTGACATAATAAGAGCTTATATATAGTCTGTGACATTGCAATAAAGTTGACGTTATGTGCAAATTCTATGGGAACTTCTTGTAAATTAGAATGTTTTTGAAGAAATCGAGAGCGGCGCGGTTATTGTGGGTGGTTCCTTTACAAGCTGAGATAGAAATCATGTCTGTAACACAAATGGTGTCAAATGACACTCGAGTTTTAAACGTTGGCTTAGGGGTTGGTTCACGAACCCTAGTCATGATGAGCAATAATAACAACAGTGATGCTTGCTTTAGTAAAGTCCACTAACTACAGGAGAGTTGGTGGCACACAGTATTTACAAAGTCCAAAAGTCTTTTTATTTAAGCCTATTAAAGAACTGAATGAAACTCAGATTTCAAACATCAACATATGTACAGAACAGGAACAAACCTCTGCAGCATGACAGCACACTGCAAAAAGACCATCTGGAGATGAGTTTTGCTTAAACCAGACTGTTTTCCACTGTCTAAGATGTGAATCTTTGTGAAGTCTTCTTAACGAAACTTTAAGGTTGGCGCTCTCGCAGGTGGGCATGTGCGTCTCAGTGTGGCTGTTGAGTGGGCACCGCCGGTGGCTGTCTCCTGTAACACATTAAACATGACCCGAGCTGTCAGAACAGAGTCCCATAGGTCACTGCTCACAGCTCTGCCAATTCAGCTAATCAACAACAATCTCCCATAAACTGCTCTGCTGCATGTTTACAATAGCCTGCGAGTGTGATTTGTTTTGGGAAAATGAAAGCGAAATGAACACAAATGGCCAGATCACATCAACAGGACTGAAAAGAACACAAAAACGCCACAAATGAATACCAAACGCTGCTGATTAGCTGTGACTCATACACAAGAATCTGAAGAACAAAAAAAAAAAAAAAAAGAATTCTTAAGAAAAAACATGATTGTGAATGAAATATCAAGAAGTTTTCCTTGTAACCTTAAAAGCGATTAATTATGCTTTGAGATTTTTCTGGTAACAACACTTTTCATTAACTAATGTACTTGATCACAAACAAACGATTCACTCTTCTTTTACAGCATTTATTCATCTAGGTTAAGGTTACTTAAAGACATTTATAATGTTACAAAAGATTTCTAATTTAAAGCTATTATTTTTAACTTTCTATTCATCAGAAAAAAAAATTTCTCTCAGTTTCCACAAATATATGAAGCACAACTGTTTTCAACTGTTTCTTGAGCATCAAGTCATCATATTAGAATGATTTCTGAAGGATCATGTGACACTGAAGTAATGTTGCTGACAATTCAGCTTTGATCATAATAAATTACATTTTGAAAGATGTTAAAATAGAAAACGGTTGTTTTACATTGTAATAATATTTCACAATATTGCTGTTTTTAACGCTATTTTTAAAACAAATAAATGCAGCGTTGGTGAGCTTAAGAGACTCATTACAAAAACATTAAAGCCGCACCAAGTGAGTTTTCCTCTGCGGTCGCCCTACAGGTTGGAAGCGGAATTGTCGTAAATAATTTAGCCGACTGTCGCACGCACGCTCGCTGTTTATCAGCAACAGATTTGGAATGAATGATGTCCACAGACAAGGTAGAGTATGTTGCATGATTTCATGAAAGTATGATGTATTGCAACATCAGAAACGAAGAAAAACAAAATAATGACTATTGTAGCGCTTCATGTAAAGCAAGTCAATTTTGTAGTTTTCTTATGTCTCATTAGAACTACAGAAACGTGACCCAATCTGGCAATCTTACATAGCGTGGTTATAGCAGGTCAGGACCGCAAAGCAAATCCAGAAGTGCCTTTCATAGTTGGGGGCCTTAAGCACATTTTCGCGCAAATTCATCTAAAAGCGCCAAATTTGGCACAGATGTAGCTCAGGTCATACTGAAATGATTTAGCTAGGGCGCCGGAGCCAGCGACCCTCGGGGCCAAGATGGCGGCCAAATCCAATATGGCCGCTGCCCGAAAAGGGTTCCGGCTATAACTTTTGAACCACATGAGTTACAAATACAAACTTAAAATGTTTTTCACCTTAATTGATCATGGGAAACACATAGAAATGTTTATATTTATGACCCAGTATATCTGGACCCCTTGATCCTCCAATTCCAATATGGCCGCTGTCCAAAAAAGCAGTTTGGGCTGTAGAATGGGGCCTTACATCCCATTGTTCGCGTAAATTCATATACAAGCACCAAATTTGGCACAGATGTAGCTCAGGTCATACTGAAATGATTTAGCTAGGGCGCCGGAGCCAGCGACCCTCGGGGCCAAGATGGCGGCCAAATCCAATATGGCCGCTGCCCGAAAAGGGTTCCGGCTATAACTCTTGAACCACATGAGTTACAAATACAAACTTGAAATGTTTTTCAGCTTAATTGATCATGGGAAACACATAGAAATGTTTATATTTATGACCCAGTATATCTGGACCCCTTGATCCTCCAATTCCAATATGGCCGCTGTCCAAAAAAGCAGTTTGGGCTGTAGAATGGGGCCTTACATCCCATTGTTCGCGCAAATTCATATACAAGCACCAAATTTGGCACAGATGTAGCTGAGGGCATACTGAAATGATTTAGCCAGGGCGCCCAAGCCAATGGTCCCTGAGACCAAGATGGCGGCCAAATCCAATATGGCCACCGTCTGAAAGGGATTCGACTATAGCTTTTGAGCCAGATGAGATATAAATACAAACTTGATGTCTATTTTACCTTTTATGGATATGGGAAACCCATAGGAATACTTACATATATGTTTGGGTATATCAGGACTCCCCAATATGGCTGCTGTCCGAAAAAGGGTTTTGGCAACAAATTTTGAACCAAATGCGCTACAAATGAGGATGTGGTGTCTATTTTATGTTTATTGATCACAGGAAGTCCACTGGCATATTTATATTTATGCTTGTGTAAGTCTGGAACCTGAATTCTTTTCAAGACTGTGGTTGAAAATCCTTTTTTTATCACAACTTTGAAGGTTATTCTCAATGTTGATTAATTTCCTTATAAAAGTGAAATGCTTTTCAGTGTACTACAGGTGAATACATTTCAAAGTGTAATCATTTAAGAAAGAATAATAAACATTATTATTGCAAGTAAATATTTATATTGTCAAATTGTTAAAAGAATAATATAGTAAATTTCTCTTAAACTCTTAATGGTTTGCTTAGCGTAAAAAAAAAAAAGCAATAACATGAAAAAACAACAGTGAATTCTCATGGTCTCACACATGTTCAATTATTATCATTTATTATCATTATAATTATCATTATAATCACCGGATCTCTCATCGTCTCCACCATCATTGTTTGCACAACACCCTCACATGCACATATAGAAGTGCAACGAACTCCGGCTTTACAGCACTTGCAGTGCCCTCTACATGCTGTCTTGCAGTCACAGTGGAGGAGATATGGTGCAGGCTTTGACTCCAAGATTAGTCCAGTAAGGTTCCCAAGTCTTGCTCGTAGAGTCCAGATACCATCCCCATGCATTGAAATCTTGGATATCTTGCTGGACAGCGGCACTGCTGCAAGCCAGCTTCTAGCCAATTCTCATCCCAAGGCATCATCTAACTGACAATTTTGACCATGCTTCAATATCTGACGCTTTAGGCACCCTTTAGCGTCAGTT